GTGGGCGTATCTGAAGCTTGGGGATTTTTTGCGACCAACAACCAATCACATGAATCTCCCGCCCCCGACATACAAAGCAAAAAAGCCTGAAGTAAACTGGATATAAACTCCCCAAACAGGCGAAAACCTACCACTGTCTCTGCCACCTCCCTCCATGCCTGGCTCCTCCGGTTTGTATCCCGGTAGGTAAATAGGGACTGGTCATAAAGCACCGGGTGATTCCCTACCGCTAATTTCTCCTCCATTTTTTGGAATATGAGGAAATGACCTGCGGTATGTCTCTCCCAGCATACACGCGGTTTGATTGGCTAGCGCTTGTACTGTCAGATTTGCATAAACGGGATTTGATTGGCTGACGCTTCCACCTCAGCTTCAAAAGTTGAACATTGCTCAACTTTTGAATCCTGAGATGCCTGGAAATCTCCGCTCTGCTTCCCACAATGCAGTTCGGCGAAAAGTGAGGCAAAGTGACGTCACCCCATTCAAAGTGAATGGGCAGAAGCGTTGGAATTTTTTTTTAACGCTGCCGTGTGGACGGGCCGTAACATTGACTCAATTCCAGGTTGCCTTATGCGTCATCTGCAAGTGTCTGACGGTAGGTTAGCTTTGAAACCCAAGGTCAGTAGCTGGAGTTATTTATACTATTAAAGTGAGTTTATAGTCTACCATGTTTTGGTTGACCTTTTGATGTATCACTTTTACATTTGGATTGGTTAAGGGCACCTTTTCAAGTCCCAACAACCACAATAATTTATTTACCAGTTGGTGAATAAAGTGCTTTACACATGATGTTTGGTCATATACATGCACACATGCTTGCCAGACCAGCCACATGCTAGTCACTTTTGGCTTTAGGGGGTGATTTGTTTTTCCTCTTGCTTGGCCAGCAGGAAGATAACCTTTACATGCTTCCTCTGGTGTCCTCCAAGGCTTTAATTAAAGCTCTAATTGTGCAGACAGACTATTCTCTCATTATATCTATTATTTTCTTTCAACCTGGTCCCTGTCCCTTGTTCAATTATCTGATCCCTCTATTGTGAAGGCTACTTGTCAGTAAAGCATGGGGTGGGAAGGAAGTAAATTCATTTGAATGATGTGCTCTTAGATTAGATCATCAGTCATCAAATGTAGCAAGTTAGCAACTGAACTTGCCAAAACAAATTGCCAATTGTTACACAGATATTATCTTCATTATTATTCTGATCAATTGTTCAACTATAAGTATCACTATACGTTACACTACTGACAGTTTATATTAGCCCCTTATTTTATTGTGTTCCCTTCTTTGACCAACTGAATAATTCAAATATAATATAATAACAATAATAATAATAATAATCTTAGAACTAAATAGATCTGCGTCTAAACCCATGTGCTGTATCTGAGTTATCTGTTGCTTTTGAGAAAGTGGCTCGGTTGTGTTTTATGTGAAACTAATGTTGATGAAGCAAACTCATCTGTTGTGTGTGTGTGTGTGTGTGGAACTCGTCAAGGTCAGCATTTCGCCACAGTCACTGTAGTGCGTTTCTGAGGGTGGACAATCACATGCTGATAGGGGCGTGTATCCTGCTGCTTTCAAAGTCGCACTGTTCAGCATTCTCCAGAAGCCCCTGATTTGTTAGTGATGGAAGCAGCTATATCTTCCATACCCTGTTTGTTTCTCTTTTATACTGCTGTCTCATAATATGAAACATTTCAGTTTTTAGATAGATCATTGACTGCCATTTATTTAAAGGGGACCTATCATGCAAAATGCACTTTTGTACGTCTTTTATACATGAATATGTGTCCCCGGTGTTCCAGGGAACTCACCAAGTGTCAGAAAACACAACCCTCTCTATTTTCCTCCATACCCAAATCTCTAAAAAAGGGGCTGCAACGGATCTGATAAAAACTGATCCAGATTTGAACACTGTCCTGACGTCAGGACAGTGGCGCTACGGCTATTGGGCCAACTCCACCAATCAGGAGGAGACAGCCACGGCCATTGCCGTTCGAAAGCGCTGGAGACGCTGTAGTACATATGCCAGGCCAGTAGGTGGTGCTGTTCTCACAGAATCAGCCCTTGCAAATCCAGAGCTAGAAATTGTCAAATTGAGCAAAATGAGGCATGGCTAAAATGCATGATCTGTTTGGTATTTTGAAAAAAAAAAGTATAAATATGCCTTATATACTGTAGGTATGGTCCTACACTATATTATTCAAATATAGCATGATAGGTCCACTTTAAAGTATGTTGCCATATTTTCAAGGTAAAAAGTGATGCATTTATCGGTGGTTAATTTATTATTATAGAAATCTTTAAAAATAAACTTGTATTAACAATTGATTTGAATTAAACCACAGCCAAATGTATTTTATACTGAGTGGAAGGAGAACAAAACCATAGCCTCCTCTTCAAATCTTCTGTACAGTCAGGTATTGTGCCAGTGTCATAATTAAGTGCAAGAAATTGGGTGAAAATGCCTTAATTATGTTCTCTAAAAGCTCCCGCGCCATCCAAGCCAACACAAACCCCTTTTGTTGTTGAGCAATTACATTGCTTCTTCACTTATGCTTCTTTTGCTTTGTCTGGCATCCATTTTCTGAATTGGCCTCCATCCTTGCCTCTTAGATATGAAGAGAAATGGAGTCTACATTTAGAGATTGAACAAGAAAGGAAGAGCAGCAGAGTGAAATAAGTCGGGCAGAGCGGTGGAGAAAAGGATTATTGAATATTGCGCTATTGTTAGTCAGGGACGTCATTGTGCATGTGTGCGTAATCAGGGACACGTAGAGCCATGCCAACTGTTATTGACTTCAGGCCGTAGGATTATTGCTGCACTTATTCACTCCCTGATTATTGCCCACTCACCCCTGCAAAAGAAACAATCTTGTATACAAGTCTATGTGTAGCTCCTTCCCCCCATTAAACCTTACACAGGTGAATATAACATTAATCACCGACAATACGATATACAATGTTAAGGCAAAATTCTGTTTGTACACATTCTGTTGAAGACCCACATACTGGCATGGTGTCCCTACAGTATATTTTGGATCAGCATTGCCCTTGCCTAATGTCCCTGCTGTATAACTTGCACTCAAAGGTCAAAGTTTAATGAAGCATTTGCAGGTACAAGCACTGACTCTGACATTCAAAGGCAGCACTCTGTGCCCTCAAAAATGCATATTGTTAATTTTAGTATGCATTATTCTTCGGGGCAGACAAGCTATACATAGCTGTTTGGCCTAGCTTCGTGGCCTCCATTCAAGGCACTTTACCTTGTTTAAAGATCCTTTTAAATAATTAATCGAGTCCATCAGCTTCAAAGGGAGCGATCAATCGATTGAGCAAATCCCTCAGTCCCATTCTTGAGGAAGCTTCCATGATTTTTTCCCCCTTCTTCACAAATTATTTATTCTTAGTGCTTCTAACGAAACATGTTAATAGGATTAAGTAAAACGGAAATTATGCTAAAAAGTGATGTGTGGCCTCAAAAGTGATGTGTGGCCTCATATCATCCTTGATCCTCTTCTAAGGTACAGTGGGTGTACTGTGTTTTTTAATGAATACTGGTTAGTACAGATATATATATCAAGGACAGATGAAAGGAAGTTAGGTGGGACTTCTTGAAAGGTCATCTGCTGTGAGATGCCTTGCAGTAAGGGAGAGAAGATGATAGTGATGACGGCTGAGAAAGATGGCCCCTAAGGACTGTTGCTTTGCTGTCAGTTCTTACTCTTGCCTAGGGGTCAATATCAGCAGTGTATATCTCTGCCTCTGGGTCTCCTAAGCAATGCAACCTGGACAACGTCTGTATTCTTTCACCCAGTTGGAGCTGGCATCGTTAATCATCCACATCTCCTTTTCCGGCCCCAGCTCCTCTTTGTGCCCCAGGCTTGTCCCTTTTATTCCCCTTTAGTATCTTGTCCTTTTGCCTGCCTTCGATGTCTTTGTATTCTAACTATAGACATACTTTTATTTCACATTAACAAGTTCATAGTGAAGATAGTGGTCAGTATGTAACATGCAGGTTACATTGAGCATTCACTTACATTTAAAATGTGTCCAGTTTGCATTAAATGTCATGTTCAATAATCTTTAGCTGTGTAAATTGATTCCCAATTCCATATCTTTTTAATATGTGCTGCACTAAAGAGTCAAATGAATATTATATGCATAGCATTTCAGTTAATGGTCATGCTTCCTGTAAACAGTTTTAATAACATTCTTCAGACATAATGGAATTCAGATTGCATGCTGATACTTGTATAATATACCAAATATTTCTTCTCTCCTGATTATATCCTTGATTTGCATAATGAGCCAACATGAATTATGAAGCAAGAATATAATGAAAGGATTTCAAACGGAACATCTAAATGCACTGTTCACCAAAGAACACATTGGCTTTCATTCTTAAAGTTGGATTAGGGAACACCTCTGAATGTAACTGTCATTATCTGTGCTTTCACTCTCTCCAAGGTTAAGATCTTTCTCAGTGATTGAGGCAGGCGTTGACAACTTTACATCCACACAGAGTACGAGGAGTGATGCGTTTGCCAGAAAGGAGCTAGAATGAAAAGAAAGCATGGTTTGAGTAGGAGGGAGTACATGCACAAACTTCTGGAAGGCATAACTGTTCCTCACCTAGAGCAGCATATCTTGTTCATGTAGCCTTTAAATACACAGGAGAGGGAAGGAAGCCATGCTGGCTCAGATGAACACTGGTCTTCCCCCACAGCTGTACCTGCATTTGGTTTTTAAGTCATCTAATCTGCAGGGCATCACTAGCCTAAATCTGGAATGTTATTGGCCGGATCTCTTTCTTTGTGTCTTCCAATGGGCCAAAGCAAAATCGGTTAATATTTCAGAACTACAGAAAACACATGCTTTGGGCTTTTTACCACCAGGAGTGTGCTTTATGAATTTGGAACCACAACTCTTAATCCAAAGAAACGAGTACCATTTGAAAAATAATAATGCTTTAAACAAGTATTTTGATTCTGCTTGTCAGGTCCCCAAACGACTACTCGTTGGCACTGTTTATCATCTGGATGAGGCTGTGCAGATTGAGGCTTTCCAAGAACTTTGAATGTAAGTGTCCATCTCAGTTTTCAATTATAATTTATTTGTGATTTTTAACCCTTTGTTGGCATGAAACCCACTGAAAGAAATACTAGAGGTGAGAAGCACTCCACTCTTGCTATTTATAATAAAACCTTCCAATCTATCCACACTAATTTATGTATGTTAGAAGATTATTTGCTCAAAAATCCCCATACATCAGTCTATAGCAACATAAATTGGTACGCTAGTTGGCTCGACTGATATACTTCCACGATAATGAATCCCATAGCCCCAAAAAAAACAACGGCAGATAACACTTTGATCTCATTTATTATTTATGCGTGTTTTTCAATGATATATTTTTTCTAGATACAAGGTTTCCAACTAACTCCAATCTCTATCCAAATGACAGACAAAGCTTCGAGTGGGTCATTTCCAGCTGTATGACCATGACATTTGTCATTTCCCAGCTAAAGGAACAGACATTGATCCGTGTTGAGCTAGCTGTCCACTCCTTTTAATTTAACGGCCACTGGCTCATTGTAATGCCTCAGTGTCCTACAGGTGTCATTGGATCCATCACTGGAGATGGGCTTGATTGGCTATGCAAGATAGCTATAGCTCATTAGAGGCAATGGAACCGATGAGATTCCCATTTTCACGGCTTCCCTCATTCGCATATTGGCCACAGAATTAACTGATATGCCATTGTTTGACTGGCAGGATGAATTGGACAAGCACTTTTCAAGATGTTAATTGCCCTTCCAAAAAAATAAACTTTATAATATAGTTTATGTTTTACATAGCAGTTTAGAAAAAAATATCAAGAGCATTATACATGTATATCTTTTGAATAAATCCTGGACTATTTTTATCTGTACACTGTTACATTTAAACTGCAGTCTTTCACATGGCATGGATTTTAGACTGACATTTAAGAATATCGAATGTGTTATTAAATTAGCATTGAGTTTGTGAGTGAGGCTGCCTTTAAAAGCTAATGGGAAGTGAAATGCTCAGTTTACCAGACAGTTTTGAGTTCCGTACAACACTTTATAGGCCTAATGGGTTTAACCGTTCAATACCTCTGACAGTCTTTATTCTTGTGGTTACAAAGATCTAACAAGCTTAGTCTACACTGGTTAAATAATAGGCTTTTATCTACTGAGCACAAACACTCACACAGGCTTACATGCATATGCAACATTCCAACTTATAACTTTATACGTTAAATCCCAGAGACAAAATGATGCATGATGCAGCTTCCCTACTCATAAAACTGGGAATCTTCTTTGGTCTGCAACAACCATTGTTTTTAGAATAGGGAAATCAAAACATATTTACCAAAAAGGAACGTTAATAATAATAATAATAATAATAATACATGAGACTTGTATAGCGCTTTTCTAGAAACTCAAAGACGCTTTGACAGAGAATAAAAAATAAATAAAAAAAGATAGGGGGGGGGGGTGGTCAGTGGTTGAATGCAGTGTTGAACAGGTGGGGTTTGAGTGATGTTTTGAATGCTGTGAGGGAGGAAGAATCTCTGATGGATTGGGGTAGTGAGTTCCAGAGGGTGGGTGCAGCAACGGAGAAGGCTCTGTCGCCCCAGGACTTGAGGTTGGTCCGGGTGGGGAGGGACAGGAGGTTGGCAGCAGCAGAGCGGAGGGAGCGAGTGTGTCTGTGGAGGAGGTCAGTCAGGTAGGATGGGGCCAGGTTATGGAGGGCTTTGTATGTCATTAGGAGGATTTTGTACTGAATTCTCTGGGGGATGGGGAGTTAGGCATTTTTGCTTGAAAAACTTAAACAAACGGTTATCATAGTAATCATTTTTTAGTATATACTATTTGTTGTGAACTAATCTTTGAAGGTCAGCTCACACATAAGAGATCATATTAAAATTGTTCATGGAACAGTGCAAATGCAAAGAGATTATGCTTTGTAAAGTGTGTTTATACAGGAAGTGAGGTATTGCAAAACATAGCAAGACATGTTTATTTAGCTGGTTTTAACAATTCATGTTGAGTGGCAGGCATTTTATAGACAGCTTTGCTTTTTCCTATTTTTCCCAAAAATGTCCTAACATTATATTAAAGGTGGGGTAGGTAATTTTGGAGAAACCGGCTCGAGATCGCTAGAATTTGAAAATACACAGCCGGAAAAAATCTGCCACATCCTTACAGAGCCCCTCCTCCAACACACACGAACGCGCACATGACCAATGAGGGCACGAGATAAGTTTGTGCCCCGATGGAAGGCTGACAGGCAGGTAGGCCATCCAGTTATTTTAGCCGGGCCGGCTAAAATGATTGGTCGTACTTTTTACAGTATTACGGCTTCCACAGATGACATTTTTTTATGGATTTTTTGTCAAAGCACTTAAGATATTTATTGCTATCGGGATGTTAAGAGCATTCCATGGAATATAACAAAAAGTGTATCTCGAGCCGGTTTCTCAAACTTACCTACCCCACCTTTAAATGAGATAAACTATTAATGGTTAGATCTTCAAAAAGATTAAACTGATTGTGCAGTTATTTTTTTATGAGGCTTCGCAAATTGATTGATACAAGTTGTATATGCTTTTAACCCTTGTGCCCTCCTCGGGCATTTTTGTACATTTTTCCTGACTTTTTTTTTTGATTTGGTGTTCATTTCAGCTGTGTTACAGCTTTTGGCATGGATTTTTGCAAGAAGTCTTCTTTTGAGTCAAATATTTGAAATCCAATGTCGTTTACTCTTACATGTTTTGTATACTCTCGTGATGCATTTTGCACCCTCTGGACCCCTTCGTGGCAAAAATGTACACGCTCATAGAAACTGCTATTAAATCATCATACATCAATATTTTATTAAACTTTTTTTTCCATGAATCACTTGAACAACTTCTAACGTGCTCAAAACTACCAAACATCCAATAATTTTCAGGATTTTAACCCTTTAAATGCCTGTTTCATTATTTGAATTATTTAATTTCTCTTAAAAAAAAACACAAAAAATGAATTTCTTTCAATATAATAATTAGTAGAGGGATGAAACTTTGGTGGTTATTAGAGTCTTGGATGTGTCAAAGATTAGCAACAAAATTGATTTGACTGCATTATTAATTTTTACGTAGTGTCAGATACTACCTTTGGACCCCTTCGTGGCAAAAATGTACACGCCCATAATAACTGCTATTAAATCATCATACATCAATATATTTTTCTACTTTTTTTTCATGAATCACATATACAACTTCTAACATACTCCAAACTACCAAACATTCAATCATTGGCAGGATTTTAACCCATTAAATGCCTGTTTAATTATTTTAATTATTTCATTTATCTCAAAAATGCCTCATTGACTTCCATTCAGACCACATTTGTTGATCTCATTGCCATTGCAGTATAAAACCATGCATTTTGTAATGTCAGCATTTCATTTAGAAGAAAAGTAGTGATATTTGATATTTCTACTCTATTCCAACAGATTACACAAGTTTCCGTGTAGGCCGATGCATTACATTCTTACATTTTTGCCAGTTATATTATGGAGCCGTGTGACTACCAGGGGGCCCCGAGAGTGGTGTGTGTGTGTGTGTGTGTATGTATGTATATGTGTGTGTGTGTGTGTGTGTGTGTGTGTGTGTATATGTGCGTGTGTGTGTGTGTGTGTGTGTGTGTGTGTGTGTGTGTGTCATTTCCAGCAGCAGACTAGCAGGTCCTGCAGCATGTGACCTGGTGCTCTCAGGTGATAGAACAACCATTTTTTAGGCCTGTGCACAACCAGCACACACCTCTCCTCCCTCTCCGTGTGTGTGTGTCTGTGAGAATCTGTAAGCATGCACAGATCATTTCATGGGAAAAAAAGGCCATCTTTTGAGGGATGTGTTTGATGTGTCTTTGAAGAGCTGCTTGATTACTCAAAAACAAAAAACAACTGTTAGTGTGTTTATGCACCTGGCTGCCAAAGATAAACATGCAGTTTGACCAAGGGCTTATTTCATTAGTGAGCAGAGAAGGAGAAAGACCTGGAGCAAAGAGAAGGAACTCAAATGAAGAAGCTTTTCAGTGCAGAAGAGACTTCAGAAATAATCTTGCAGCCTTCTTCTGCCAGCGAGCTGCAGGACTCATCTGAAGAAGACACAAGGTTCGAGGGGGGGTCTGACACTGAATGCTCTCTGGAGTCCAGCATTTCTTTGAGTTCCTCTGACCCTTCATCTGAAAATGGAGAGGACACTGAGGGTCCGGCCCACCATCCACCACCACGGGGGGCTTTCTTCTCACAATCTGTGAGGACACCCTGGTTTTCCCCAGCTCCTGGGAGAACGACCTCCGTTCTTCTCTGTCCCCTCACTGTGGGCCGGACCCTCAGTGTCCTCTCCACTTTCAGATGAAGGGTCAGAGGAACTCAAAGAAATGCTGGACTCCAGAGAGCATTCAGTGTCAGACCCCCCCTCGAACCTTGTGTCTTCTTCAGATGAGTCCTGCAGCTCGCTGGCAGAAGAAGGCTGCAAGATTATTTCTGAAGTCTCTTCTGCACTGAAAAGCTTCTTCATTTGAGTTCCTTCTCTTTGCTCCAGGTCTTTCTCCTTCTCTGCTCACTAATGAAATAAGCCCATGGTCAAACTGCATGTTTATCTTTGGCAGCCAGGTGCATAAACACACTAACAGTTGTTTTTTGTTTTTGAGTAATCAAGCAGCTCTTCAAAGACACATCAAACACATCCCTCAAAAGATGGCCTTTTGTTCCCATGAAATGATCTGTGCATGCTTACAGATTCTCACACACACACACACACACACACACACACACACACACACACACACACACACACACACACACACACACCACACACACACACACACACACCACACACACACACACACACACACACACACACACACACACACACACACACACACACACACACACACACACACACACACACACACACACACACACACACACACACACACACACACACACACACACACACACACACACACAGAGAGGAGAGGTGTGTGCTGGTTGTGCACAGG